GGGACAGTGGTGACACTACAGGGACATCAATGACATTATTTTGGACCAGTGACATCACAGGGGACTGGTGACAAAAAAAGGGAAGTCCTGATGTCACAGGGAAATCAGTGACATCAGGGGACATGGAGCCACCACTGGGGAGAGTGGTGACATCACAGAGACACCAGTGTCATCATCAGTGACACTTGTGACATCACAGGGACATCGGTGACAGCACTAGGGACATTGGTGACTACACAAGGACAAGGGTGACATTACAGAGACAGTAGTGACATCATCGGGGACATTTGTGACACCACAGGGGACAGTCGTGACATCACACGGACATTGATGATATCACTGGTGACCAGTGACGTGTCAGGGGTGTGGTGACAAGAAAGGGATAGCTGCAATGTCACAGGGACATCAAAGTATCTGATGACATCACAGAGCATTTGGTGACATCATGGGGACATGGTGCCACCACTGGGGACAGTGGTGACATCACAGAGACAGAAGTAACATCACTGGGGACCAGTGACATCACAGGGGACTACTGACAACAAAGGGACAACCATGATGTCACAGGGACATCGGTGACATCACATGGGATGTAGGTGACTTTACAAGTACAGGGGTGACATCACAGAGACACCATTTATATCATTGGGGACATTGTTGACATCACAAGGGCCAACGGTGACATCACAGGGGACTGGTGACATCACAAAGGACTGGTGACATTACAGGGACATTGGAGAAGTCACAGGGACAAGGTGCCACTGCTGACGTCAGTGGTGGCATAAGAGGGACCGCAGTGATACCATTGGGGACCAGTGACATCACAGGGGACTAATGAGAACAAAGGTTAAGCCCTGTTGTCACAGGGACATCGGTGACACCACAGGGGATCACATCACTGATTTCACAAGGACAAGGGTGACATCACAGAGACACAGTGACATCATCTGAGTCATTACTGACATCACAGGGGACACTGGGGACATCACAGGGACACCGGTGAAATCATTAAGGAACAGTGAAATTACAGGGGAATGGTGAAAACAAAGGGACATCAATGACATCACAGGGACAGGGATGAAATCACAGAGGCAGTAGTGACATCACTGAGGACCAGTGACATCACGGGGCACTGGTGAAAACAAAAGGATAGTCACGATATCACAGGGACGTGGATGATGTCAAAGGCATCTGGTGACATCGCAGGGACATGGTGCCACCTCTGGGGACAGTGTTGACATCACAGAGACAGCAGTGACATCACTGGGGACCAGTAACGTCACAGGGGACTCTGGACAACAAAGGGACAGCCGTGATGTCACAGGGACATTGGTGACCTCACAGGGACTTCAGTGACTTCACAAGGACAAGGATGAAATCACAGTGACACCGGTGACATCATCGGGGTCATTGTTGACATCACAGTGGACAGTGGTGACATCACAGGGACGTGGGTAACATCACAGGGGACTGCTGACAATAAAGGGACAGCCGTGATGTCACGGGGACATTGGTGACTTCACAAGTACAGGGTTGACATTATAGAGACACAAGTGACATCATCGGGGACATTGCTGAAGTCACTGGGGACAGTGGTGACATCACTGAGGAACAGTGACATCACAGGGGACTGGTGAAAACAAAGGGACAGCTGTGATGTCACAGGGAGATCACTGACAACACAGGGGACATCAGTGACTTCATAAGGCCAGGGGTGACATCACAGAGACACCAGAGACATCATCGGTGACACTGGTGGTATCACAGGGATGTGGATGTCATCACTGGGGACCAGTGGCAGCACAGGGAACTGATCATAGAATTATAGAATCATAGAATAGATTGGGTTGGAAAAGACCTCCAAGATCATCAAGTCCAACCCCTGATCCAACTCTAATTACTATATCATGGCACTAAGGGCCATGTATAATCTCTTTTTAAAAACTTCCAGGGATGGTGAATCCACCACCTCTCTGGGCAGGCCGTTCCAATGCCTGATCACCCTCTCTGTAAAGAATTTCTTCCTAACATCTAACCTAAACTTCCCCTGGCAGAGCTTGAGCCCATGTCCCCTTGTCCTGTTTTTGGTTGCCTGGGAGAAGAGACCAACTCCCACCTGGCTATAACTTCCCTTCAGGTAGTTGAAGAGAGTGATGAGGTCACCTCTAAGCCTTCTCTTCTCTAGACTAAACAACCCCAGCTCCCTCAGCCTCTCCTCACAGGACTTGTGCTCAAGTCCCTTCACCAGCCTGGTTGCTCTTCTCTGGACCTGCTCCAGCACCTCCATGTCCTTCCTGAACTGAGGGGTCCAGAACTGAACACAATTCTCAAGGTGTGGCCTCACCAGCACTGAGTACAGGGGAAGGATCACTTCCCTGCTCCTGCTGGCCACACTGTTCTTGATGCAGGCCAGGATGCCATTGGCCCTCTTGGCCACCTGGGCACACTTTGGCTCATGTTCAGCTTCCTGTCAATCAGCACCCCCAGGTCCCTTTCCACCTGGCTACTCTCCAGCCACTCTGTCCCCAGCCTGTAGCGCTGCAGGGGTTGTTGTGGCCAAAGTGCAGGACCCGGCACTTGGCCTTGTGGAACTTCATTCCATTGGAATCAGCCCAACTCTCCAGTCTGTCCAGGTCCCTCTGCAGAGCCCTCCTGCCTTCTGGTAGGTTGACACTCCCTCCCAACTTGGTGTCATCAGCAAATTTGCTGTGATATCACAGTGACATCAGTGACATCAATGGGGACATTGGTGACTTCACAAGGACAAGGGTGATGTTACAGAGACAGCAGTGACATTATCAGGGACATTGGTGACACCACAGAGGGCAGTGGTGATATCACATAGACATGGGTGATATCGTTGTGGATGATACCTTGGAGTTTTGATGTTTTGATTTTTTTAATTTTTGTAGACCTTAAAAGTAGTTATGTAGTAAATGTAGATTTTAGAGTAGCAGCATATTATCCCTTTACCCTTAACACACCAGCTCAAACCCCTGTTACCCATTCCCATATCAATTCCCTAAATTCCATAGCCTGTTTAGTCTCTTTTTCAAGGTAGAATTGTAGAAGAACACCCTAACCCTACGGAACAAGATATAACCGTAGACCCAACAACCTTCAGGCCTAGAATTCTGGAAGGCCTCCAAGGACATTACGTGCTCTGAGGAAGATGAAGATGAAGAAGAGGGGGTCCCAAAACACCCCCAGACCCAATTCCCAAGAGGCGTGGCGGGGATAGAACTGTCGCGGTCGAGGCGGGAAGGCGACATGGGTTTCAGGATACCAGCAGCTTTTTTTATTGTAACAGTATAGCTACCTTTATACAGTTCTGGGGTGACACATGTACACACAGCATTGGTTCACCACTATCATAACAACTTATGATTGGACATACAGCCACATGTCCTAACACAATAGGCTGACATTCCTCACAGGAAACCCACTGTGTCACAGTCCTACTGTCCGTGGTTAACCCTCTGCCAGGTGTAAGAAGTTCCATCTTCAGTATCTCAGTTTACTGAGAGCCCAGAACCAGCTGGGCTCCCCAACAATTCCCCCTCTTTTGTATTATAGAAAATTGCCAGCATCAGCTAATACAGGGCCCTTGCACTAGCGACATGACAATATCAATAATACAATACAATTACACACATAGGCAAAGAATCAACCAGTCCTTCTTTCATCAGTCCACAAGAATGGTATTCCTTCTTCTCAGTGCTGAATGTCCACCAATGAGTTGTCCATGTAGCTTGTGCGTGTACAACAGGCAGGTAGAAAGCAGACTGTTGGAGGATAAGAATATTGCTCCTCAAAAGCTAGCTGAACAGACAGGTATCCTCCCCCTTTTTTTTTTTTTTTACCTTTTTTTTTGTTTTTTTTCTCTTTTTCTCTCTTTTTTTTTTTTTATTTTTCTACATTTTTTTTTTTAGTTTTTAACTTCTTAAAGTCTTTCAGTGCTTCAAAAAGCAGGTGTCAGGAAGTTAATAATTCCATGACTCCCCTGAAAGCAACTTTAGAAGTCCTGGTACCCGTGATCTCTGCTCCAAATTAGCATTTTTGCAGGAGCAGGGCATCTAGCTTGATTCCATGTCTCTCTTTAGCAGTAACTGCCACTCGGGATGACAGAGTCATCCTCTTTAGGTAACATGGAACCTATTATACTCCGGTGGTTCACCTGTTCTAGACAGGTGTCTCCAAAAGATCTGGGCTAGCCCCCTGCGACGTTTTTTTGTCGCTTTTAAAACTACACCGGAGTTCCCGCCTCCAACAGCTCTCTCGGAGCTGTCTCTCTCCGTCCTTGTTCAGGATGTGAAAACCTTCTAGATTGCTTCAGGAGGTACTAATGTAAGTTACAAGCAGAGTAATAATAAAGCGAAGACGAACAGTAGCTGGAATGTTGCTTTAGCAGCCGACTGCTGATAAAAGGCAGTTGCCGGGATACCGAGATTTCGCAAGAGTCCGAGCCAAGCGGGGGAGTGCGGCAAACAGGAATTTGTCTGCCCCACAGCTGCGAGAGTAACGAAGGCAGGGTCGCTCGGAACAAACGGCACTGCTGAGTCAGGGCACGTTCGGGGTGCGGTCTCAGCTGCTCCACGCACAGTCAGGGGCGTCCGGGGATAGCGGGGGGACGCGAACCGGGCACAGAGCGGGCTGGGGCGCTGCGCACAGCCGAGATGTCAGGAGCGAGGGCTACGCAGGTTGCGCACGCAGCCACGCAGTTTCCGTAGGGCTGCAGCTGGAACGCGGAGCGAGATAACGAGTGCTCCGGGGGGGAGAGCGGGGCAGCCCCGCGGGAAGGCTGGGAGCGGAGCGAGATTACGAACGCTCCGAGGTAGAATGGGGCAGTGCGGCAGGAGGGTTGATAACAGACCGCTCAGTAACTTACGTAGCCATGACAAAGTCTCAGCAGCAGCGAGAAAGTTCTCAGCAGCAGCAAAAGGCAGCTCAGCGGCATACGATCTCTCGGGCTGGGAAGTAGTGAAAACAAAACGGGGGGGTCAGCGGCCGTCTGATCCCTCCGGGTAGCAGCTTCTCGAGATCCCGCCCGAGTGATTCTTCATTCGCTTCTTGTCGTCGAGTTCTCTTCTATCTTCCTTCGCAATCACGTCGGGGGTTCACCATATGTCGCGGTCGAGGCAGGGAGGCGACATGGGTTTCAGGATACCACTCTCACACAAACTTTGTTTTTCAGTCTTAGAGTTAGTAATGTTTAACTCCGTGTCTTCTATTTGTGAGTGATTGTTGTGCTGAAATTATAACTTGCAAAGCAAACATATTTTTGCCTCTTGTTTAATTTCATTAACATTGTTAAAAGTTCAAAGAATGTTGTTCACTGATTTTATGGATTTCTAGAGTGAATGGTCGTCATAGCGACTGATTGCTTCACTTCCTTGCTTCGGTTTGTCGCCAGCCCACTTTGCGCGGGGGGGGGTAAAAAGGTTTTCAATCGCGATCTCAGCCGACCGGTCTCAGCTGACTGATCTCAGCCGACCCCGGTCCTGGCCCCGGCCCGCAGAGCCGAGCCGTCCCGCCCCGCCAGTGCTTGTCACGCAGCGCTGATGCTTCGCTCTGCCGTTTCGCGGTGCCGCTTCGTTCTGCTTTTCTCTATCCTTTGTGTTTTCCTCCCGCAGTGCCCGGCTGAGGGCCGAGTTATTAGTCCCCAGCTGCCGCCGCAGCTCCAGGCACTGCCAGGCCCTCAGCATTGGCACCTTTGCCTTCGTTTTCACCTCAACTCCTATCTTTTTTGCTAAATATAGCATACATTTGAGCGTCGTTCGCTCAACTGCGGATACCGCATATCTCGTACTGTCTGCTGAATATTTTGCAAGCGCTTGCTTCAACTCACCGCCTCTTTGGGCTTCGCCTCTGTGGGCTCCTGAAACTGCGGCCCGCAGTACCACAGCCAGTCAGCAGACACCTCGCCTTTTCGCCACAGCAACAATCTTCCGATACGGATATGTGCTGTCAATCACTGGACAACGTATATTCCGAACTCCGTTCCCAGACGAAATTCCTCACACGGGGCACCAGATGTAACACGTGCGAGACCCAGTGGAAACTTCACACACAACAATATGATGTTTTGGAAGCTTCATCTTTATTGGAAATTACACTTACTTTTATACAATTCAATAATTACTACATATTTGACTACTTAACCTATTATTGGTCACACACACAAAACACACACTGTTCACACGATTATTATTGGTTAGTCAACGTATCTTATTTTCTAAATTCTTCTCCTTCTAAATATAACTACAACGCTTCTATTCCCATGCCTCCTGGCAGGTTCAGCTTAAACTCCCTTCTGCAGGTGCTGTTTTTCTCATCCCTGTAGATGTCCAGTCTTTGTCATGTTCTCAAAACACTTAGTCCTTGAGACTCCTCAGATTCCCATCAGCTGTTTTACTCCTGCCTTAACCCAAAAGGTTTCTAATTCTCCTACACAGGAATACACCAATATTGTCACATGTGAACAAGTAACACTGCTATTGGTAGTGCTGGAGGCCTCAGGATCATGTAATGAACAGCACAGTGCAGTCAGGTCATGAGGTGCAGCAAGGACAGAGCAGTAACCTTTCTGATAATATAATGAGGATATAAATATCACCCAGTTACACTGAACAAAAGCAGACAAAACTCAGCTGCTCCTTTAGACAGAAAGCACAAAGAGCCATCTCCCCATAGGAAGCAGTGCAATATCAAGAGCTGGCCCACAAGCTCTTCCCCATTTCCAAACACAACCATCAGCAAACAGATGCTTGCCAAAGTCAAATGAATTGCAAGGCTCCCAGCACACAAATTACCACTAAGGAAACAAGCAACAAGCAAACACTTCCTAGATGAATTAAAGTCTCTCCCATAGTCTAGGGTTGTAATAGCTGAGCTTCTACACTGCTGCACAGGCCAGGGAGAGCAGGAAGAACTCCACAGTGTTCATGTGCAGTCCAAAATGTGGGTACAGGGTTGGACCAAAGGTTTTCCTCGGGGAGGATGATGCTGAAATGCACTGTGTTCTGGCACATCAGTATTGCAGACTCCAGCAAATCTGACAGACAGAGCATGCAAGGAACAACCTACATCTGGCTATGACACAAAGCAATGGGAAGGGACATTGATTCCTTAGGACAAGCAATTAGTGGCTAAAGGAAACCCAAAACCAGGCCCTTTGAGTGAAATGGAAAAGCAAAGTGATTTTGGCAATAGCAGCAGAACTATCGGAATGAGGAGTGCTTTGTAACAGCAGCTCATAAGGACTAATTGCTGCCACTGGACTTGGGGGAGGATGAGAAAAAGGAGAGTTTGGGTAAGATGGGAGTCCTGCAAGCACATGGACAATCATCCCATGCTTTATCATCACCTTGCAACAAGCACAAAGGGGTGTTTTGTCAAAAACAAAAAGTAAAAATAGCAAGAAAACCGTAGTGACTCCTGCCAAGACACTGCCACTCTGGGGGATCAGTCACCACCTGCTTGGTGGTCACCACCAGCTCCAAAAATCACTCCTTGGAACTGCTACCTGTGTGAGCAACAGAAAGAATGTCAGAGCAGAGCCCCCAGCCCACCTCGGTGCTTTGCTTTCATCCTCCTGACATCAGCTCTGATAACTGGATGCCCTGTGCAACACTCGGGCTCCAAGAGCTCCTTGCAGCCCCCATCCAGCACACAGTGCCCTGGGGGAGCAGCAGAGACACGAAAGAAGGGACAGCAAAAGAAACACCTGCAGGCAAAGCACCTGCACAGGCCAATCTTCCCCATGAGGGTGGGCAGGCCCTGGCACAGGTTGCCCAGAGAAGCTGTGGCTGCCCCTGGGTCCCTGGAAGTGTCCAAGGCCAGGTTGGACGGGGCTTGGAGCCACCTGGGCTGGTGGAAGGTGTCCCTGCCCACGGCAGGGGGTGGCACTGGATGGGCTTTAAGAAACAGAAACAAGGAAGAGAATTTGGCTCATATTCCTTTTCCAGTATTAGACAATATGAATACAAGCATCAGTAAAGAATATTAACCCTCCTTCCAGAGACACACCCATCTGGCATTACAAATGCTTATAGACCTTATTCAAGCCAGAGAACGGATTTAAAGAGGGCTTACCCTGCTCAGGCAGCTGCTCTTGGATTTCAGCTGCGTTCATTTGATTTTGCTAGAAATCTCTTTCAGAAGGCCTTTCAAATCAGAGAGCTTCACCAAAAAAAAAAAAAAAAAACAAAAAACAACAAAGGTTATTTGTGTAAAGTCAATCTAGCTCAAAGCAAGCAATGCTCACAAGTTCTGTGAGTAACAAGCAATTGCCTCTCCAAATATTACACTAAATGCAACAGTGCTTGAAAGGACACTTCCAATTAGAGGGTTCATCAGGGCAATTAATGCAGTGAGCCCTGATGCAGATGTATTTCAGCTGGTTAACAAGCACAGAAGCACAATATGGATATTACTTTTCAGTAGAGAATTACGGTTATCAGATCTCCTTTCAGTTTCAAGAAGAGCATCACTAGCCACAGACTTACTCACCATTTCCATTTCAGCCTGGGGAGCAAGCCATTATTCTGCAGTCTAAATTATTTGACAGCAATCAAAAGATGTATTTTGAAGTATTATGTGGGTCTTATCACCCTTGGACTTCTAAGAAGTCTGTTCTTCACGCCAGAGCAACTCCCTGCTTCAGAGGCCAAATACACAATTGAATCAAGCCTCAGAAAATACCCCCTGGGAAGGTCTTTTCAGTATCACAGTCATAAAAATTATACCTGTATGACAATTCTGATAATGATGTGCTCTCTAGTAGACCGGTAGCTTTACATTGCTTAATTACTTCATGCCTTCAGCTCTAGAAGCTAAATCTGACAGACACATGTGTGGGAAGGGGACACTTCATTACTTGATCACTATAACCTTTCTCTGTAGCAGTGATCAGATGCATTGCCAAGTGTATCCTTTCATAAGCCACTGCTTCTTCTGTAATTCTTTGCTGTTTTGCACTATAGTAAACTTAGACATTCATTCTTTAAAGTTGGTGTCTTTGTTCCTTAAATCCATCCTCATTCCCAGGGCAAAACAGACTGGCAAAACAGTGGCCCATCACCTGCTTTACCAGAGACAATCACGTTTCCCAGAGCAATTTCAAACACAGGTACCTTTGCATCCAGTTGTCTAAATCGATGCACCATCCTGAAAGCAGGAGAACAGGGAGGAAAGGGCTGAGTTCAGGTATTAGAGAAACCTTGCCTAACTACCACACTCCCCTCCAGTGCTCCATCCTCCCAAGGAGGTGCAGCTGCAGGTGACTGGCATTGCTTTCATGACAAGTAAATGAACTAACACATGAACTACTATTAATAGGATGCTGTTCCATTTTCCTTCTCAAGACGCTTCTGCTTCCAATACAAAAGTTGCTTTTTGGGCATTCGTTTGGCTTCTTATGCAATGCTGGGTTGCCTCTGGGTAGTCTCAACTTAAACATTTATCTGTGGACAGCAACGTTCATGTGCAGGGGCACAGAAGAGTCTGGTCTTTCTCGCCCATTCTGATCAGCTCTTCCCTCCCATCTGATTCAGGGAAATACTCAAGCTGCTGGAAGTTAGCAACCAAGTTCAGCCATCACACAGATCAGGTTACTGTTCTGTTCTCCAGCTTTATTTATGTTTTTTTGTTTTTTTTTTCCTCTTAGACTATTACTCTGAAAACACTGAGACAGATCCCGAAGATAGTGTGTCACAAGCTGGCACTCAAAGAAGCACAGTTCAAGTCCCCAAACTTCCAATCCCATCATTCCAAAGAGCATCTTCCCCTCCCCAGAGGTCTCTCCTCCTCATGCTATTAAGCACAGATCTCCATACAGATTGTTATTCCAGGTGTAATATTCCAGTAATATTCTCTGCTAACTGCATCATAGAATTATTTAGGTTGGGAAAGATCATCGAGTTCAATCCTTAACCCAGCACTGCCAAGGCCACCAACAAACCGTGTCCCCAAGTGCCACACCCACATGGCTTTTAAATCCCCCCAGGGATGGGGACTCCACCAGTGCTCTGGGCAGCTGGGCCAGGGCTGGACAACCCTTTCAGTGAAGAAATTCTTCCTAATATCCAACCTGAACTTCTAATGTTGCAAGAATAGTCAGCAATAGCAATGCTTTCCACGATGAGATCTCAAAACACCACAGGAAGACATTTTCTTCCCTGCAGCACATAAAAAGAGCCACCATTTCACTTCAAAAATTAAAAATAAAAAGCACATTTACGCTGAGTTTATTTACTTACTCATTAACGTTTGTAAACATTTAGAGCTGCTGGAAACTTGCCTTCACTAGAAATATTCAACAGAAAATTAAGGGAAGGAAGACAAAGAGGGGCAGACATGCTCTTCTGATGAATCGTTTGCTTTGGTATTGATTTTGACAAGGTAATTCTCCTCCATGACAGCTTCCCATGCCAGAATTTCATTGTCCTCATTTCTTGAGCCTGGGAAATATATTGGGAAAAAAAAGAATAGTTAAATTTGTCTCTCCAATGCTAAGATGCAAAAAGGCTGGGTCAGCGCTTGCACCCACAGCTTAATGATTCCCTTCTCCACATCCTGAGCACTCACAGCCCCACTTTCCCCTTCCCTTCAACTCCTGGCAACCAGAGTTGGTTAAAAAGAGGAAATATGGAGGGGAAAAAAAAAAAAAAAAAAAAAAGACAAAAACCCCCAAACCAACAGAAAACCCCCACACTTCCAAGCTCCAAAAGTCCCTTCTGGATTTTTTTTGGAGTCTTAGTTACCACAGGTACAACTGCTTCAACAGGTACAGGACATTCCAGAAACTTCCTATGTGGATTTGAGCTTTCTGTTTGTCTGCACACTATCCCATATTGGAACATTAAGAGTGAAATATGTTAAGAACCATGACATGTCATTGAACATTTCAGAAAGATGAAGCACTGTCTTCTCTAAAAAGCATCTCCTGGTTATGCTGTAAATTCAGGAGTGACACAGAGCAACCCACCTGGAGGCAGCAAAGTCCTCCAGGATAATACTCCAGCATTTAGTCCTGTTCCATTTGGACAGCACAAACCACATGGGTTTTAATACAAAACTAAAATTAACGGAGACAAAAGAAGTCCAGAGCTGGAAAACGGCTGAAGTTTCATTTCCTCTAACTACACACAGTCCTCAGTTGTTCTCCCACATACCAACAAGCATCCAAACACCCAAATCCCAACCATTTCCATAACAGTTAAATGAGGAAGGTAGGATTTGGCAGCAGTCTAGACATTAATGTGCTCTCTCCATGCAGGTCTCAGCTCCTATCATCAGCAAAAACCTGATGACATTCTGGCTCTAATTAACTCCTCCATTTGCTTTCAGAACTGCAACATCATCTGTGCATCCTTTGAGCAGAAATATCTGCCACCCGACAACCTCCCCTGCAAGGAAACCACCCAGTGATTTGGGCAGCCAAAATGGTTTAGTCAGTGCTAAGGAACATCAGACCCCCAAAGGAGGCTCTTCCTCCTAAACTACCAACAAATCCAGCCCGCGCTGCAGGGAACAGGCAGGTTGCTGATGGCTGGAAAGCAGCACAGGCAGACCTAAACTGATAGGATGAATCCAAAGTCTGCATTGATTTACACACATAAAGTAATTTTGATCGATCGGGATCTGTCCCCCCCCCTTCCCAGTATGATTCCAGTCACTCCCAGTATGACTCCAGTCACTCCCAGTATGATGCTGCTGTTGTTATCAGCCGTGGGCAGAGCTGGAGTGGGGTGGGAAGATTCACCCACTGAGGCCAAAAACTGGGATTGAACATCCAAACCCATCTCCCTCCCAGACTTTTGAAAAGATTTAAAGGTTTTAAATGGGTTTAAAAGGGTTTAAAAGGGTTGTTTATGATGTGTGTGTCAGGAGCGCCTGGAGAAGAGAGTCACACACTCTGCTCTGAGAGAAATCCTTTTTAATGCAGTGGGGAAAATAAGATAAAAAAACAAAAGAATATAAAAAAAATAAAAACTATAAAGAAGATAAAAAAATATAAAAAAATTAAAAAGAAGATAAAAACAGAAAAGAGATTAAAAAAGAAGATAAAAAAGAAGATAAGATTAAAAAAGATCAAAAAGACAAAGATTAAAAAAAGATCAAAAACATAAAAGAGAAGACAAAAAAATAAAAACAGATAAAAAATATTTAAACAAGATAAAAAAGATTAAAAAATATAAAAAAGATAAAAAAGAAAAAATATAAAAAAGATTAAAAATAACAAAAATATTACAAAATATTAAAAATATCAAAAAATTAAAAAAATAAAAAATATTTAGAAATATATAAAATATTTTAAAATATAAAAAGACCTTAAAATATTAAAAAATATAAAAAGATAAAAAGATTAAAAAATCAAAAAATATAAAAAAGATCAAAAAATAAAAAGATAAAAAATATAAAAATATTAAAAATTTTAAAAAAGATTAAAAATACTAAAAAGATTAGAAAACATAAAAATATTAAAAAGATAAAAATATTCATATGAAAGAACATAAAAAGATAAAAAGATAAAGATTAAAAATATTTTAAAAATATTAAAAATATTAAAAGATAAAAAATATTTTTAAAAGATAATAAATGAGTTTAAAAAGAAAAATATTAAGAAAAAATTAAGGAAAAGATTAAAAAATGAGATAAAAAATTAGAAAGATATAAAAGGATAAAAAAGATTAAAAAATTTAAAACAAAATATTAAAAAAAGATTTAAAAAATCCTTGCAAAAGGTTATTACAAAGATTAAAAACACAAACCAAGGGAAGAGCACTTGGCTAAACCACTCAGCACAAAGACCCCACTCCACAGGAAACTCCCTTTGAAACAATCCACGTGGCCCTTCCCCACCCTCCTCCCTCCGCACTCACAATGAGTTGTTTCCCACTCCCTTGTCAATAACTCTATAAATTAAATTAAATATTAAATTAAATTAAATTCAATAAATTAAATAAGATAAAACAGAAGATTAAAGAATATTAAGAAAGATTAAAAAAAGGATCAAAAAAGATAAAAAAGATAAAAAAAGAAGATAAAAAGATAAACAATATTTTAAAAAGATAAAAAATTAAAAAAGGACAGACAGGATTAAAAAAAATTAAAATGATAAAAAATTAAGATAAAGATAAAAATATAAAAATATAATAAAAGATTAAAAAATATTAAAAATATAAAAAAGAAGACAAAAATATGAAAGAGATAAAAAAGGAAGATAAAAAAATAAAAAAAAAAAGATAAAAAAAGAGAGAAAAGAGGAGAGAGAGAAAACCATGAGGAATCTTTATTTTATAGAGTTCAGTTTTCCTTCCCAGGGAACGTGGCCCTTCCTCCCTCCTCTCTCCTCCCCCCCCCACTCACAATGAGTTGTGAGAGATAAGATAAAAAAGAAGATTAAAAAAGACAAAAGAGATAAAAAAGAAGATTAAAAAAAGGATTAAAAATATAAAAAAGATAAAAATAATAAAAAATATAAAAAAGATAAAAATGTAAAAGAGATTTAAAAAAATAAAAATAAGATAAAGATTAAAAATATTTAAAAATGATAAAAAGAAAAAAAGAAGATGAAAAATAAAGATAAAAAGATGAAAAGATAAAAACATTAAAAAGATTAAAAAAGATTAAAAAGATTAAAAAGAACATAAAAAAGATTAAAAAGATTAAAAAGGAAGATTAAAAAAAATATAAAAAATACATCAGCTCCACTCAGATAATACATTCTAATTATTATTATAATGTTCCAGGCCCAGCCCTTCCCCCTTCTCTCCTCCCCCTCCCCACTCACAATGAGTTGTTTCCCACCCTCCTGTCAATAATTCAATAAATTAAATTAAATATTACGTTAAATTAAATTCAATAAATTAAATAATTTATTTAAGACCTTTTAAAAAGCCTTAAAGGTTTTTAAAACGCTTTTAAAAAGGGCTTTAAAAGGTTTGGTTATAACCTATAATCAGACTCCAGAGAAAGAGTCACACGCTCTCCATTCTAAAAGAAATGGTTTTTAATTTAGTGGGGAAAAAAGATAAAAAAAGGAAAGGAGATTAAAAAAAAGATAAAAAAGATAAAGAAGAGAAAAAAGATTAAGAAGATAAAAAAGAAGATTAAAAAAGATTAAAAAAAGATTAAAAAAGATTAAAAATATTAAAAAGAAGATTAAAAAAATAAAAAATATAAAAAATAATAAAGATTAAAAAATAAAAAAGATTTAAAATATTTTAAAAAATAAGATTAAAAGATAAAAAAGAAGATTAAAAAAGATAAAAAAGATTAAAAAAGGATTAAAAATAGATTTAAAAAGGATTAAAAATAGATAAAAAAAGAAGAGAAAAAAAGATTAAAAAGATAAAAAAAGATAAAAAAGGTTAAAAAAGGATTAAAACAGATAAAAATATAAAAAATAAAAAAGAGAAAAAAGATAAATAATAATGATTAAAAATAAAAATATTAAAAATTAAAAAAGATAAAAATATAACAATAAGATTAAAAAAGATTAAAAAATTAAAAAGGATTAAAATAGATAAAAAAGATAAAAAAGAAGAAAAATATAAAAAGATAAAAAATAATTAAAAAATACATTAAAAATATTTAAAATATTTTAAAAAGATAAAAATAAGACAAAAAAGATAAAAAATAAGATTAAAAGTATTAAAAAGGGATTTAAAAAATTAAAAAAAGAAGATTAAAAAAGTTAAAAAAGGAAGATAAAAATATGGAACCAACTGCCATAAATGTGTTCCTACAGACACAAAATCACCCAACCCAACAAGTTTCCCCCCCCATCCCCGGGCCTGGTTTCTTCTTCCCCAGTCCCCTCCAGGGAGGTGACAAAAACCCAGCAGGGAGGTGACAAAACCCACACCTTTCCACCGGAGCTGGAGACCCGCCTGGAGATCCCAAACCCGCTGCCAAAAGGGACCTTTTTGTGGTTTTTGGGTCCCACCCGCCCCCCAAAAACCTCACCTGTCGTGCCCCACCATAACCTGCAGCTCGGGAGACTCTCCCAAATGTTGGGGCACAGCCAAAATAAAACAGTCCTGGGCCATCCCAGAGACCTGGGGGAAGATACACAGAAAACATTCTGGTTTTAGGGACGCACTGCTCTCCTCCTCCTGCCCCACTCCCACCATCGGCACCGCCAAAATAAAACAGTCCTGGGCCATCCCAGAGACCTGGGGGAAGATACACAGAAAACATTCTGGTTTTAGGGACGCGCTGCTCTCCTCCTCCTGCCCCACTCCCACCCGCGGCACCGCCAGCACTCGTGGGGGGAGGGGGGGGCTCGGGGACAACCCCCTCAGAGCCAACATCCCCACCCTGGACGTGGCCACGAAGCCCTCCCCAACAACGAGGCGACTTCAGCCACCCCCTCAAAGGGCCACAAAAGTCCCCACTGAGCCCGGAACGGCTCCTGCCCCGCGTGGGGACCGAGCAAAGCCCGACCTGCGCCCCCCACTCCTCCTCCTCCTCCTTCCTTTTCCTCCTCCTTCCTCCTCTTCCTTCCTCCTCCTCCTTCCTCCTCCTCCTTCCTCCTCCTCCTCCTTCTCCTTCCTCTTCCTCCTTTCTCTTCCTCCTCCTTCCTCCTCCACCTCCTCCTCCTTCCTCCTCCTTCTTCCTCCTCCTCCCTCCTCCTTCCTCCTCCTCCCCCCCAGGGTTTGGGATCCACGGGAATTAGATTGCCCTGGAGCCTAGGAAAAGGTCCACGCCCCGACCTCCCCACCCCACCCCACCCACGAGGGACCCCTCCAAGGTGTATTCCTGGGCCTCAGAGTAATTCTAGAGCTAAAGCGGTGTGGGAGACATCAGCTCGGCTCAGATAATCCATGCCAGCACTCAGCCCCGGCCCAGGGGGCAGCCCCGAGGGGGGGGGCCTCCTTCCCACAGCCCCCCGGCCCCTGGGGGGGCAGCTCCAGGGTCGGGGGGGCTTCGTGCCCGGGGGGCTCCGTACCCGCAGCATCCTCTCCCTGCGGGTCCATCCCCCCGCCCTCCGATCCGCTCAATCCCCGTCCCATCCTGCCCCATCCACCCAATCCCAGTCCCGTCCTCCCCCATCCACCTCCACTCCCCTCCGATCCACCCAATCCCCATCCCATCCTCCCCCGATCCACCTCCATCACCCTCCGATCCGCCCAGTCCCCATCCCATCCTCCTCCATCTGCCCAATCCCAGTCCCATCCTCCCCGTCAGTCTCCAGCCCCCTCCGATCCGCCCAGTCCCCATCCCTTCGGGTTCGCCTCCATCTTCCTTCGGCCGCCCTGATCCTGATCCGACCTGAATCCCATCCATCCGCCCCCATCCACCTTCTTCCACCTCCACCCGCATCCATCCCCGTCTCGTCCACCTCCATTCACATCCCATCCGCCTCCATCCCTGTCCCTCCCGCCTCCACCCGCGTGTGCCCCCATCCACCTGCCTCCATCTTCGCGCCTCCACCTCCATCCCCATCCCATCTGCCGCATCCCCATCCCACCCACCTCCATCCGCTCAAGCCCCATCCCATCCGTCCAATCCCCATGCCACCCACCTCCATCCACCCCCATCCCATCTGCCCAATCCCTTTCCCATCCGCCTCCATCCCCATCCCACCCACTCCATCCACCTCCATCCCCATCCCACCCACCTCCATCCACTTCCATCCCCATCCCATCCACCTCCATCTGCCCCATCCCCATCCCATCTGCCCCATCCCCATCCCATCTGCCCAGTCCCCATCCCACCCACTCCATCCTCCTCCACACCCATCCCATCCTCTCCATTCCCATACCACCCACCTCCATCCGCTCAATCCCCATCCCAACCGCCCAATCCCCATTCCACCCACCTCCATACACCTTCATCCCCGTCCCATCCACCTCCATCCCAATCCCATTGGCCCCCATCCACTCAATCCCCATTCCACCTACCTCCATCCTCCTCCACGCCCATCCCATCCTCTCAGTTCCCATCCCATCCACCTCCACCTGCATCCATCCTCATCCCATCCACCCAATCCCCATCCCACCCACATCCACCTGCATCCATCCCCATCCCATCTGCCCAATCCCCATCCCATCCACCCACCTCCATCCCCATCCCATCCGCCTCCATCCACCTCCATCCCCATCCCATCTGCCCAATCCCCATCCCATCCACCCACCTCCATGCACCCCATCCCCGTCCCTCCCACCTCCACCTGCCTATGCCCCCATCCACCCGCCTTCATCTTTCCGCCTCCACCTCCATCCCCGTCCCGTCCGCCCAATTCCCATCCCATCCACCTCCATTCCCATCCCATCCACCTCCATCCCCATCCCACCCACATCCATCCCCATCCCATCCAACTCCATTCCCATCCCATCCACCTCCATCCACCCAATCCCCATCCCCATTAATTAATGGGATTGCCTGGTCACACACACACGTCAGGGGCTCCTCTGTCATCAATTAATTAATTAATTATTAATGAGATTGCCAGGTAACACTCACACATGTCAGGGACTCCTCTGTCCTCAATTAATTAATTAATTAATTATTAATGGATTGCCTGGTCACACACACATCAGGGGCTCCTCTGCCATCAATTAATTAATTATTAATGGGATTGCCTGGTCACACGCACGTCAGGGGCTCCTCTGCCATCAGGTCGTTAATTAATGAATCATGGCCAAAACCAGAACATTTATATAAAACGAGCGATTGACACGATTTACGAATGACCGGACGGAAGAAAAAAAACAACACCTTAATCAGAACCATTCGCTGCACGACAATAAACCCCAAACAGGGGTCACCAGGGAATGTGGGTCCCCAAAAGGCTGTTCCCAAGGCGGGTTCTCCGATGGGTGACAGAGCTGGAGCAGCAGCCGAAGCGCTTCCTGCAGTCAGGGCACTCGAGGGCTTCCCTTACCGGTGGGTCCGTTGGTGTTTGGTCAAGGTAGACCTGTTGCTGAAGCTCTTCCCACACTCCCCACACTTGTAGGGCCTCTCCCCGGTGTGGATGCGCCGGTGGGTGACGAGGTTGCTGTTCTGGTTGAAGCCCTTCCCGCAGTCGGTGCAGCGGAAGGGCCTCTCCTCTGTGTGTGTCTGCTCATGCACGAGGAGCTTGGAGCTGGTCTGAAACCTCTTCCCACATTGCAAGCACTTGTAGGGCCGTTCCCCAGTGTGGATGAGCTGGTGTTGGAGCAGGTTGGAGCTGTCCCTGAAACTCTTCCCACATTCCCCACACGTGTGGGGCCGTTTCCCAGCGTGGATGCGTTGGTGTCGGATCAGGTGGGAGCTGTCCCTGAAGCTCTTCCCACATTCCAAGCACTTGTAGGGCCGTTCCCCAGTGTGGATGCGCTGGTGGATTAGGAGCTTGGAGCTATTCCTGAACCTCTTCCCACATTCCCCACATGGGTATGGCCATTCCCCAGTGTGGATGAGCTGGTGGATGAGGAGGTTGGAGCTGACACTGAAGCTCTTCCCACATTCCCCACATGTGTAGGGCTGTTCCCCAGTGTGGATACGTTGGTGTTTGATCAGGTCGGTGCTGGATATGAAGCTCTTCCCACATTCCCCACATGTGTGGGGCCGTTCCCCAGTATGGATGCGCTGGTGTCGGATCAGGTTGGAGTTGCTCCTGAAGCTGTTCCCACACTCCCTGCACAGGTAGGGCCGTTCCCCAGTGTGGATGAGTTGGTGTTTAATCAGGTTGGAGCTGTTCCTGAAGCTCTTCCCACACTCCCCACACGTGTAGGGCCGTTCCCCAGTGTGGATGTGCTGGTGGCTGAGGAGGTGGTTGCTCTGCTTGAAGCTCTTCCCACATTCCAAGCACCTGAAGGGCTTCTCCCTGCTGGGAGGCTGCTCAGGGACCACCAGCTCGGAGCTCCGGTTCAAGCTCCGGCCGCCTTCCCAGCACAGGACGGGTCTTTCCTCCTCAGAGCTCCCTGGGCTGGCTTTGCAGCCCCTCCTCCGGGGGCATCTCCGGGCCTTTTCCTCCCCGCTGCCTTCCTGCGCCGGGGAGCCCTTCAAAACGGCCTCTCCCACCAGGCTCTGCCGGGGGGATTTGTCCTCCGTGCTCTCCGTCCTCAGCTCGGGGCCTGGGGCAGGAAGGAAGAAGGACAGGCAGGGGATTTGCCTCCGGCCCAGAGGGAAGGCCAAGCACATCCCCCCCCAAATTTGGCCCCCACATGCACCACAAGACAGGGCCAAAGGGGCACTGACTTCCTCCTCACCTACCTGGGGGGCTCATGGCATCTTCCTCACAACCTCCTCCTCCATCCGCCCAAGCTTTGGGAAGGACAAATCCTGCTGGGGGGAAACAAGGGCTGAGTGCCTTGCCTTGGGGGTTCCTCCTGCCCAAGTCCATCTCTGGAGCTCACCGGGCATCCTGGGACCATAAAAACCTCCAAAGGCCCCCCCCAAAAAACCTCTCCCCCAGAACTCCAAGGTTCAGACCAAAAAAACCCCTTCCAGGAGTTCCCCTCTCAGGTCTCTCCACTTTAGGGTTCTGGGGGGTCCCCCCTGTTTGGGTTGCTGGGGGCGTCCCATGTGTATTGGGGGACCCCCCTCTCCAGGGTCCCTGCCCTCCCTGGGAGCCTGGGGGTCCTGGATTTCCCCCCCTCCAGGGTCCCCCTGCTCAGGGATGTTGGGGGTTTTGGAGGCCCCAGGGGTCCCTTCTCTTTGCTTTGGGCTGCTGGGGGTCCCACCTCTCTGGGGTCTCCCCCTCTCCAGGCTGCTGGAGATCCTGGGAATCCCAGAGGTCCTCCTTCTCCGAGCTCCCCTTTCTCTGGGGTCCCCCTGTCTGGGCTGCTGGGAGTCCCAGGACTCGCCCTTTTCCAGGCTTCCCACTTCAGTGTCCCGGAGGACCCAAGGTACCTCCTCTCCAGGCCCCCATTTCAGGGTTCCTGGGGGAACCCTAAAAACCTCCTGTCCCTGCAGGTTTCCCCCTTCATGACTTCCATTCTGCTGGGGGTCCCGTGGGTCTGGTACCATCCCTCTCTGCTCTTCCCACTCCGGGGGTCTCAGCAGCCCCCACCGGCTGTTCCTCCTCCTCTTCCCCCTTCTCCTGGCCTGGGTCCCCCCATTCCTGGCCAGTCCAGTTTTCCAGACCCCAGATCCCTCTTTCTTTGACTCCAGGACCCCTCTGCCCCCACTTTCCTCACCATCCCACCTCTCCCAGTCCCTGCATCCTCCTGTTTCCCTCACCCTGGGGACCTCCAGCCTCCCATTCCTGGCTGGCCATCCCCTGGCACCTCAGCAACAGCCCCCCTGAAGCCCCTTCCCAGTTCCCACAGCTCTCCCAGTTTCTCCCTTCCCTTGACCCTGGGACCACCCTGACCCCCAAATCTCTGAGTCTCTCCAGTTCCCCACTCCTGGCTTATCCTGCAGGGTGGTCCTGGGGTGTCCTAAGGACCCCCTGAACCCCCCATTCCTGTACTCCAGATCTCCCTTGCACCCCCTTATCTGGGATCAGGACCCCCCTGTACCCCTTTCCCAGCCATCCCACCTCTCCCAGACTCCACACTCCCTTTTCCTTCACCTTGGGACTCACTGGACCCACATTTCTGGGAATCACGACCCCCCGGAACCCCCTTTCCAGCACTGGAACTCTCTTTTACCCCTTCCTCAGCTCCAGGACCCCTTCAACAAACCCTTTCCCCGCCATCCCGCCTCTCCCAGCTCCCAGGCCCCTCTTTTCCATGATGCTGGTACTCCCTGGATCCTCATTCCTGTCTTTTCCAGACTCCTTTTTTTTTGTTGTTGTTTTTGAACACCGGGGGATCCCCTGGACCCCGTTTTCTGGACGTTCTCCCAACCCTCCCCACGCCCCTCCCTTTCCCCAACACCGATGAACCCCGTGCAGAGGCTCTTCCTGGACCCCCCATCCCACCTCTCCTGATCCCTGCCCTCCCCTTTCCTTGGCCCTGGGATCCCCTCCAACTCCCCTTACCCTTGGCATCATACTGGTTTCATACTGGGAGCAAGTGGAACCACGCTGGAGGGAACTGGGATCATACTGGGAGTGACTGGAAGGAACTGGCATGATACTGGGTTCATTTTGGGAATGGTAGGAAGTGACTGGGATCATACTGGAGATGACTGGGACCATACTAGAACTAACTGGGATTACAGTGGGTGTGAATGGAACCTTACTGAGGGTTACTGGAAGCCTCTTGGCATATGCTGGGAGCAAACTGGCATCAACTGGAAGATACTGGAACCATGTTGGAGGGACTGGGACCACAGTTGGGGCAGTTGGAATCATACTGGGAGAAACTGCGCCCACAGTGGGAGTCTCTGGAACCATATTGGTGCTGAGTGGGACCACACTGGCAGCAACTGGGATCAACTGGGACTGACTGGGTCTACAATGGAGGCAACTGGGAGTGTCTT